AAGGAAGAGACGGAGGTATCGTTTGGTCTTGCTTCCCGTGAGCTAGCCAGGGAACACAGCCGTTTATTGACATCTGCAGAAGAACAGTGCCGCTAGCTAACTGCTCAGCGCGGCAACAGCACAGCAACAACAACACAAAGGGCGCCCTCTGACCCCGAAAGGACACACTGTCGCAGCCAGAGGGCGTCACCCGTCACCATGGCAACATAAACAAAACACAACTGTACAAACAGAACCCCGAACAGCCCTGACCCGCTACAGTATTCTGTAATGTATTCCGTTACGTTACTCGATGAGAGTAACGTATTCTGAATACTTTGGATTACTTAATATGTTATCATGCTTTTTACAACTACATGAATGTACTATTGCTGTGATTTATTACTGTTACTGAAGGTCCGCGGCTCCGAACCCGTAGTAAAGGGACCTCTGACTAATATGGTGGGTTCTGTGTCGGGCTCGTAGCCGAAAAACAGCTTTACTTTGTTGTCTGGGTCAACTTTGCTTGCAAGAGACAAAGAGGCGTTGAAAGGCTGCTCCAACGGAACTTATTGTTTCGGAGGAAAACGCGAACACAGTGTACAGTCGAGTCTTAATAGCTTACTTACAACTGGGCTCGTCAGGCACTCTTCTTGGCTGCAGTGGTTATTATTATATTTACATGCTTCCAGCTCCCGTTTCTGCTCGATGGCAACTTGTACTTTTCCACTCGCCTTTTTCTCCCTCCTCGCGCTCACGGGCACATCTCCATGCAGCACGGACTACACTGCCCATGAGGCTACATTCTTTAGTTTAGAGCTATGCCTGTAGCATTCTCCCTATTAGCTTAGCACAACAACAACAACAAAAAATGCGCTCTCTCACCCAGGAAACACGCAGAGAGAGAGCTCACCCTGTAACCATGGCAACCATAATGCTGCCACCTGGAACAACAGAACGTAGCTGTCAAACAAAACCGAAACAGTCCTGACCCGCCACAATATGAAACAGGAAAATACCGCCGTGTAATCCATTTATTTCAACAAAGTAATTGTATTCTAAATACCACCTTTTTAAACGGTGACTGTAACGGAATACAGTTACTCATATTTTATATTTTAAATACATAACGGCGGTACATGTATTCCGTTACTAACCAACACTGGAAAAGGGAAACAAATATATATGTATTTTACAAACAGCAGCTTATAGTGAAGACAGTGCAAGACTCAACAACACCGTCTGTTCAATAATGATGCAAACTTTACCACATGTATTGCACAAAGTTCTCAGAATACTTTAAGCAATAGTCATTGCTGCAATCTATTTGAAAAAAAACAAACAAAAAAACCCCACATGGTGATATCAGTATCTGCCAACCGACATTGCAGATGAGCTCTACCAAAACACTGATTACAGCTTCACCAGTAAAAGAATTACAACATGCAAGTTTACCTAACAATAGCTAATCATAGTAATCAAGAATGAATATTAGGAGATGTGCTGAGTCGCTGATATAAAAAGTTGAGGTGGCTTTAAAGGAGTTTCTGAGTTTGCATGAGCAAGATGGTGGCAGTGATGCAAAGACATCTGTTTGATGGAGAGCTTCTGTAAAGAAATGGCCTGTATTTGTATAGCGCTTTACTAGTCCCTAAGGACCCCAAAGCGCTTTACACAACCAGTCATCCAACCATTCACACACACATTCACACACTGGTGATGGCAAGCTACATTGTAGCCACAGCCACACTGGAGCGCACTGACAGAGGGTAGGGGTCACTTGCCCCACCCCCAGTAGGCAACGGGTGAAGTGTCTTGCCCAAGGACACAACAACCGAGACTGTCCAAGCTGACAAAGAGGCAGTCAGAGCTGCTATCATCTCCTTCTCTCTGCTTTCTCTGAGAAGCACAACACTTTAACACTAACACACAGACACACGCACACAAACAAACACAAACACACTCTTTATCCAGGTAAGAATCACATGTTTAATGGCCCACAGCAGGCAGTTACTTGAAACCTACACTGAAGCAAACACCTCCAGCCATGTACCGTCTGCAGCAACTGTCTCTTTTTTCAGCTGCTTGCTCGTTTGTCTCAACCTGCTTTGGCTAATCTGTCTAATTTTCTGTGTGCTGAATGCGAGCATGTGTCTGTTTGGAGATGTAATGTACCATCACAGCCTTGAAAACTACCTCATGTTTGATATGTTTTCTCAGGTGCCTGAAGGCTCAAGTATTCTTTTTTTCTCTCTCACCAATAAATGGATGAAGTACTTAAAGTAATCTTATTCTGTACATGCCTCTAAGCCCTAAACAGTCTATTTTAAGTTTGTTATAGCTGCAGACATCATTTTCAGTTGAACAGCTAGACTGTATATCTATTATACAGCAATATGTTTGTGCTACAGTATTCTCAAAGGGTGACTGCTAGTGAGTTAAAGCACATATGTTACAAGAAAAGATTCAGACAAAACGAGCTCTACCACTCGAGTACAGTGAATAATACCAACTAATATCAATTCAAGTCAATTACATTTCATCTGTATATCACAACGGCTATGATCTGAAGACACTTTAATGTTGCTAGCTTGCTAGCAAGTTAGCATTTAGCTAAGCAGCCTTACAGAGTTGCTGGTCACGTCTGTCATGAATATGTGAAAGAAGTTCGCACATTGAAGCTAAAATGAAGTGTAAACCAAACTTATTAACATAGAATTTGCCTTGAAAAATCTCCAAATGTTGTAATTGCTGTTACAAGTCTGTCAAAACCTTCGGCCCTCATTGCCTTTCTTCTTTTTTGCGTATCTGTCCGTCCATTGCATCCCTCTTCTGACAGTCGACAGGTCCACGCCAAACTGCTATGCATTTCTGCTCACTTTCACGCACCGTGAAATATTCACGGTTGAATGCATGTCCTGTTTATTATTCATGAGCTCACTTGATCTCAGCATCATTCACACACAGCTCCACCGTGAGCTGTGTGTGAATGATCACACATGTGCACGTTCTCATATTTGGATATTAAGGAGTGTTCAGTTTGGTGTAAAACAAAGTTAAATGTGCAAAGAACTTTGATGTGCAAAATTCCTGGAGTCACTAAAGCTATTCTTAACAGTGAGTTTCTGATTTAGAGCCAGTTAACCCTTGGTGCTTCTGGCAAAGGGAAGGAGCAGGTGTGCACATTTTTATTTTGCAGTAAAGCTTCTAAATGGTCACAGTTTTGCATATTTACTGAACATAATATAGTTCACTGGATCACTTTATGACAGAAATGTATAAAAAAGTTGATGATTTACAGGCAAACTTTACCAGATATGGATTTTTCTGAGTGGACTGTGACCGTTCCTGAATATCAAAATATGTGTGTGCAGAAGTATACGCAACATAAAGAGCACTCTGGTTTGAAAAACCCAAATTTGAATCCTTCAGTCTTTTTTTTTCAAAAAAAGATCTAGAGAGTTAAAGTGAAGCACGAATTCAAGAACTACAAAATACTAAAGAACTCCCACTCTCTGGGCTTTTATAGAGGATGATTGCAAGATAGTTCATAATAAACGACAAACTCACAGGATTCAAAATTTTGACAGAATTTAGTAACAGAATTTCTAGGACTCCACGCTCAAATGCTTCTTTTACACTCCTTTTTGTTGTGGTTTAACTTTTTGCCTTACTTTTGTTTTAGTCATCATTTAGAAACAGATGCTACTGAGTATTCTGTGTGACTGAGTACTGATTAACTGACCAATCATCATGCGCTAGTAAGAGTATATTTTAAAAATTTAGAAAGAACTTGCCTGCACAATACCCACCACTACTGCTACAAGTTTGAAGTTAACTTTAGTTCTGAAAGTTAATTTGTCCTTTCCTTTGAGGATATGATTGTTATTCCCTACACTGACGTGGTGACTGGTATTGTGTCACTCCCCGCTACTGTGTATAACTACAAATCACAGTAGCCAATCACAGTGGCTGTGGACTGCATTTCCAGGGAGGCATGCCAGGTTACAGTGTAGGGTTTTGGAAAGGTTTGTGGTTATAACGTACCTACAAAATAGTTTTAACACAGAAGTATAAATCCTTGTTAGTGTTGCCAGACGTCTGCCCCTAGTGGTGAAACCGGCATTGACTGCAGCTTTAAGGACAAAGACGATCATTCTCACAATTAGCCTACAGGAAAAGGCAAAAATAAGTAGCATCAGCAGCTGAGAAATATGTTGCTGCTCTTTAAAGTGCGACACACGTGGTCTCCAATGGTGGTCAGGATGGCCTTCTTTAAAAAAATGACCCATAAATCAGAATAAATTTCAGCTCCTTTTAGACACAAAGTGTTCCTGTGCTGCCCCTTTAAGGCAGGCATGAACATTTGAGTGTGTGTTTTTTGTACCAGCAGACTTGCCGTAGTACCTCACCAGTGAAAAACAGTCCTTTAGACAAACTGTCGTCTGTTCCACTTTTTGTTCACTTTTTCTTGCTGAGCCTGAGAGAGCACATGCCTGTAAGTAGTTGCTATCTGTTTTGTTAGCTTTCCCGCGATAGTTTTGTGTAGCAGTTTAGAGGTTTGTGTGGAAAACTTTCTTTTGTGAAGAAAAACGGCCGCGATGCTAACACGTTAGCCCGTCTATGGGATTTCCCATGTAATGTTAGCATTAAGCTAATCGCTAAATGCGTGAGCCTGATAACCAGTGAAAGGGTTTGGATAAGTTTGTGTTTATGTGTTATATACATTGTAGTGCATGGCTTAATGTTTGATGTTGTAAAGAAAATGCAATTACAGCAGAAATGTAATATTTTATTTTTGTTTCTGTACCAGTTTTACAGTGCTTCAACAGTAAACATCTAAAACGTATCCGCTGACTCCTGGATGTTTATTGTGGACCTGTTAGCTATCTGCCAAGCTAGAAACCAGCTTTACACCCTAGTGAGGGCAGAATAGTAAAAAGGCATCGTCCCAACACGGCTACCTACAGAAAAGTGGATCTGCGTGGAAACACAGTTTCTTCTGTTTCTTCTAAGCTACAATGGATAGTAACGACGACACGCTTGAGACGCGGTCAATATGCTCCAACACCTCACGTGCCAGTCAGCGCTCTTCAGCCAGTGCCATTGCAGCCAGAGCACGGGCAAAAGCAGAGGCTGCCCGTGCTCAAGCACTATTTGCACAAAAAGAGGCAGATATGTTAAAAGCACAAGCATATATTGAGGAAGAACAACAAAAAGCAGCAGCTGAGGCTGCTAGGAAGAAAGCAGAGCTGCAAGCCAGTTTGCATACCTTGAGGCTTGAGAGCGTGGCTGCAGCTGCCATTGCTGAAGCGAATGTTCTTGAAGCAGCCGTTGAAAACGAATTTGGGGAGTTAGATCGGGTTAGCCTGAAAAATGAATACGTTGAGCGTAATCCAAGTCCTGAACCTCACCAAAACTCACAGCTACCAGAACTCATGCCAACTTTGATGCACCAACTACCAGTCGACAGTGATGAGATCAGCAAATACGACTTGCCTGTTCAGAGAACATCCAAATTGAGTCAAGATGCCACTCCCTATTACCCTCGTACTCAAAGCCCCTGCAGGACAGCCCCGTTCAAGCAAGAACATTCACACAGCTTAAATCCATCCAGGGATACCTACAGACACCAGACACAGTCACATGATATGAGACCATACAGCAGTAGCTACCAACAGTCTCATACAGGTGCTGCCAGGACTGACGAGCCCACTTCATCATCGACCACAGACTTGGCCAAGTATCTAATACGGCGAGAGATGATAAGCTCTGGGCTGTTAAGGTTCGACGATCAGCCAGAAAATTATTGGGCCTGGAAGCAATCTTTCCACAGTTCTACAGAGGACTTAAAACTGACGTCAAGAGAGGAGCTTGATCTGTTATGTAAATGGCTGGGACCAAAGTCATCAGAGCATGCTAAGAGGATACGAGCAGTCCACATACACGATGCAGCGGCAGGTGTAAGTATGGTATGGCAAAGGTTGGAAGACTGCTATGGATCGCCAGAAGCAATTGAAGAAGCTCTCCTAAAGAAACTGGATGATTTTCCAAGAATCTCTAATCGAGAAAATCAAAAGCTGAGAGAGCTGGGAGACATTCTCTTGGAGCTTGAAGCCGCCAGAGCCGATGGGTTCCTACCAGGCCTCAGTTACCTGGACACATCTCGGGGCATCACTCCAATCATCCAAAAGTTGCCATACTCCCTGCATGACAAGTGGGTCTCTTTAGCATCTCGTTACAAAGAAAATCATCAAGCGTCCTACCCACCGTTCTCCTTCTTCGCAAAGTTTGTTTGTGATCAAGCCAAAATGCTCAATGATCCAAGCTTTGCCCTTCTTACAAGTGGTTGGAGGACGGGGAAGCCAGAACACCCCTTCAAATCAAACATGAAAATACCCATTTCTGTCAAAAAGACAGAAGTCTCCTCAAACTCTAAAAGCATGCAAGCCAGCCTCTCAGGGAAGAGGAGGGCCGAACCAGATGAACAATGCCCACTCCATAACAAACCACACCCCCTCAGAAACTGTCGTGGGTTTAGGAGTAAATCTTTGGATGAAAGGAAAGCTTATCTTGGAGAGAATAATATTTGCTTTAAGTGCTGTGCTTCGTTCACTCATCTAGCAGAAGACTGCCACAAAAACGTTCAGTGCAGAGAGTGCAAGAGTGAGAACCACCCTACTGCGCTACACCCAGGGCCGGCCCCCTGGATATCAGAGACTCCTGTAACCGCAAGAGAGCAAGGCGGGGAGCAAGGAGAAGAAGCTCCTCAAGCTGTCACAGCAAAATGCACAGACATTTGTGGGACTACCGTCAGAGCAAAGTCGTGCTCCAAAATCTGTCTTGTCAGAGTTTATCCAGCTGGCCAGAGGGAGAAAGCTGTTAAGGCGTACGTTGTTCTCGACGAGCAAAGCAATAAGTCTTTGGCAAGAACAGAGTTTTTTGAGCTTTTTGGAGTTACAGAGGGCGCGGCAGCATACACCTTGAAGACCTGCTCAGGAGTTATGGAAACTACAGGGCGCCGAGCTAACAATTTCATCATGGAGTCATTAGATGGTAAGACTCACATTCCACTCCCCACCTTAATCGAATGTGACATGCTTCCTGATGATAAGTCTGAAATCCCCACACCTGAGATCGCCAGACATTATCCACATTTCAAGCGGGTTGTGGATAAAATCCCGGCTATAGATCCATCAGCAAGCATCCTGATCTTGCTCGGTCGAGATGTACCACAGGCACACAAGGTTCGAGAGC